TGTTGAGAAAACAGATTCCAAAATCGCCTTTTTGGAATCATTCACATTTTTTAAATTTTTTTTTATTCGAATTACTTTTAACTCTAGAACACCAGACACTTTGTTATCCTCAAAAATGCCAAGGTGTGTCATTTTGACGCTGATGCGCAAGTTGCGCAAAATCGGAAAACTAATATTTAAATACATTTCTTCTTAAAGAAAATGTGATTGCAAGGTCTGCCTATACTATTAATTTAGATGTAAAATGAAATAAAATAGCAGACGATAAAGAAAAAGAGCGAATAAGAGCTTGACTTCGAGTTTTGAGTCGTTACGTGATTAAAGTAGCCAGACATCATGAGTCTTTAGTTAAATTTCTAGGCTTATATATTTATTTGCTTACCTTATTTATTTATTTATATCAGTTGTAAATTGTTTTATTTATCCTTTTCGCCTGATAGACTTGAACACAAGAACCAGTGCCCGATTTATCATAAGGCCTAAGAAGCCCAAGCTTGGGGTTCCCACATTTTGGGGGCCCCCTAAGTGTTATAAATAATTCCTGTTTGTGTTTTTGCTTAATAATAGTTAATTAGAATTGTAAGTTAGCAAAAATTAAAACAAATATAAGCTCAAATTTTCTATTATATTGTGACTTACTTAAGTTTTAAATAATTTAAAATATTTCTTAACTAAACAACATGCAAATTTGGTATAAGGGGGCCCCTGACCTAAGGTCCCGCATTTTTTACATCAGGCCCTGACAAGAACTGGTCTCAATAATTACCATTTACTGTTAAGTTTTCAGCAATACTTTCGACTGCAGACGATTTAAATAACTAATCACAACTTGAGCGTCACGATTTCACACTTTGTCATAAGCAACATAAATCTTAATATGTCACATCCACATTCATTCATGATTTAAAAGAGTGGAAGGAAAAGTGACTCATTACCGAAGCAGCCTGTAAAAAACTGACGATAAATATTTAATCTCAGTGTAAAAAAAAACGTCCTTTTAGGAATCCATAATTCATGGATTCCGTAACACAAGCGGGAAATGTTCGTCTGGAAATCTCAATTTATGGGGCCGTTTCTTGATTTGGCACAGGTTTTGCAATGTCTAAAGAAGCAGTTGAAGCAGAAAAAATTAAGATTATGCTTTCTAACTGACGCAACTCATTGGTTGATTTGAAGGATTATCCATATCCTGAAAGCTTTACAGTTAAATTCCTTCTTCTTTTAAACAAAAAGTTCCATTTTCCAATTTGTTTTTTTAGTCTTTATGTTATGTTTGAGTTGTGCGATACTTAACATCAAATAACGATTGAATTTAAACATCACGATAACAGTATTTTAAGAAAGTGCTTTCAGGCTAAATCTCGAATACTTTGTTCCAAAATAAATATAGAATAATTATCGATAACTATAAAAACGTAATCATTATCGAGAACGATTATAACAACGATAAATAGCAAAATATATTGCACAGTAGTTAAAACTGATTGAATCACTGAGTATTATCGATAACGATTATTATCGAATACGCTAATATTGAGGTCATTATCGACAGCGATAAATATCGAATACGATTATATCGAGACTGTTTTCGATAATTATCGAATACGATATTGTAGTGAGAGTCAATAAATTTCATTCAGGTCATGAAAAGATTTATCAAAGAAAAAATATTGTAAATTAGTTAAATTGAAAAAATATCACGATATGTAACTAAATATCGATATTTCTTGACATTGTCTCTCGATTTAAAAATTTAAATATTAATAACAATTACAGAACCTGCTACCTATAATATCAATTACAGAATCAACTATTATTTCCTGGATATTATTACTTATCATATTTTAAATAAATATATAGACACTTTTGAATTAATTTTTTTTAATTAAAGTTGGTTAGTTAAAACTGATTGAAACTATTTGTGTAACAACAAATGTCTCACGGAGAAGATAATAATTCAATAACAACAAAACGGCTTCAAGTAATTTTTTACAATTCGAATTTCGAAAAACTTATATTACAAATATATTAGTTTTCACCGCTTAAATATTTTATGCAATAAGAATATTAATAACTATTTTTCTCAATATTTTGTTCAAAAATATTAATTAATGATCAGAATAGATAACCTTGGCGAATTTTATGAATATTATTTATTAGATTTCTGATTCTTTTTTAAATTTATTTCATGACATGAATAAATAATTCTGTACCTTTACTCTGTCCTCCCTCACGTACCTTTCCTCACTCAAAAAATTTCTTAAAATAATGATAGATTTAAAATAAGTAATAAATCGAAACGGAGGCATAAAGAGTTTAGTCACCTACTTCTAGTTTCAAATGATTTCGCAAGATTTTATTTTCGCACACGCAGTAACGCCTAAAGTATGTAAATTGAAAGGCGAAAAATAATCGTCTGTTCGGGTTGAACACGAGACCTAATTTTTCGAACTCATTCCGAGAAATCTAATTAAACTCACTGTTAAGCCACAGTTCTAATCTCTTTTTAAAAGTGATTGAAATTGAAAAGAAACCATATTAAAACCTGTTTGAGTTATTGAATTCGAATTTGTTAAGAGGAAAAGAATTTTTCGAATTTATATGTTAACAAATGGGGATTTAAATACGTCAGAATTCTATCACAATAATTAAGAGGCTTTATATATATTTTTTTCAGTAATTCAAGTTAGAAGGGAAAAACCAGATGAACTCGTTGCAAATACAAAAAGCTTGCATTCAAATTTTTATGCTATTACATTTTCTAAAATTTAATTAAAGTTATTTTACTTTATTTATTATTTTTTTAAATTGTAAAGAAATTTTTAAAATGCATATTTATTAGAATACGTTCTTGCTTACGTAGAGAGCTTGTAAAGAATTGGCATCAGACAGAATAGAATTCTTTTAATACATTTGTATGCGAGCACGTTAAGTTTTCTGAGACTCTTAAAATAAAAAGATTTAGTAAATAGGCCTTATTAATACCCTCCATGTACACAACTAAAATATACATCATAAAATTATATTATTTTTTTTAAAAACAGGATTAGTTGTGATTTTACTTAAACTTCCTAGGTGGCAGCACCATAGCCTAGAACGGGTGCTTCCAATTTTTTTTCGGGTTTGGAACGCTAAATGATCTATCTTCTTTCGGCGGAACACCTTTTTAATAAATAAAGAATAGAAAGAGAATTGTGAACGTATTAACTAATCAAATTCTACTTTAAAGAATTTAAAGACAGAAGCGAATTATTATCATCGTTTTATCATTAATTATCTTAGATAAGATAAGATATTTGCAGACCCGGAGCTGAATTTAGACTAGTTAAGAGCTAGTTTTTGGTGTACATATATATGCTGAAAATAAATAAAAATAGGTCGAATTATGGTTTTTGCTGAAATTAAAAAAACGAATTGCTATAAACGTTGAAAATGCTTAATAGGGAAACATTCATTTTAACGAATTTATTTTATTTTGATCTGAAAAGCGTGATAGGAAAGGAAATGCTCAGCAATTTTTTACAAAGGCATAATGCATGCCTGTTTCATAATTTATTCCAAGCACTGTAATTGAAAAAATATACAGATTTTTTTAAATAGCCATTTTTTTCAACTGCACTTTAATTTCATTAAGGCAACCAAAATATTAAATACATAATAGATTATAGTTGATTTTTATATTAGATCTAATTATAAAAACAGATTTCAATTAAAAAAAAAAAACTTCCTAAATAAAAGTCTTAACTCTCGGAACCCCAGTCAATCTTCCACGTAACCCTAGGGGACTATGAGGATTATCATTAGGGAACCACTGGCCTAGTAGGCACCGCCGACAAATATGAATTTCATTCAACTTTTAACCAAATATGTTGAATAAAGTAGTCATGAAATTAAGAAAAATTGGTTGAATGTTTCGATTAAACTTCATTTTAATACTAAAAAAATTATTTTTTCTATACATACAGCATTAAAGTATGTAGTTTGAAGTTTAATTTGCACAAAGAAAGAAGTTTCTATGTGAAAAATTGTTCGAGTAATTACAAATTTACAAAAAAATTGGATTTCGGGTAGCCCCGCTCACATGAATGTCGGGTATCACCGCCCAATTTTATTTCGTCGATAAATGTACGGTTGCAAAGATTATTATTTTATTGCTTCAAATTTGAATGTTATATGCATTTTTAACAACAAATATTGTTGTTATTAAATTGTTGTTATTAAATGATAGAATTCACTAAAAGTATATAAATATGTAATAAATAAAATAATTTTGTGATAAAAATGATAAATGAGGTTTATCTATTGTCAATACATTGGTCATTTTCATTTACACCTGAAAAAACAGTCAAAAAACATAATTTTTGTAACTGGGCGGGGCTACCCGACACATTTTGAGAAGAGCTGAAAAACATGTTTTTTCAAATTTCTATTTTTTTAAGTTAAACTATTCTTTTTTTGGTTTATTCCTTTTGCATTATTTAATTAGATGGTAAAACAATAGAAACATACAAAAATATTGATTATTACTCACTATTATACAGAAATATAAGCAATACTCCTTAAGTGGGCGGGGCAACCCGACTCTCCCCTATTTGTTTATACCAAGTGGCTGTTTCTATTCATGACAAAGCAATTTCGCTAGCAATCTATGTTTTAACAACTATGGCAAGAATGTCACCTAATTTCAGACGACGGTTTAGCACCAGCTGGTACCCCTCTCTCTCCAAACTTTCACACCATAACAAACGAGAGGACTATTAGTCACTGCAGATTTAACATAACCTTGTTGCACATCTACTCCGTTTGCTGAATCGACTGACAGAATTAAACTCACGACTCGTAGCTCTCCACTAGCGTAGACCCTATCGACTACACCACGGTTAAATAGCAATTAATTTTATTGTAATAACAACAGCAAACATACAGTCCATTCAACTAGTGGATCAAAACTTAACTAGTCATAAATAACCTTTAACTTCCGATAAAATTGAAATATTTACTTGTAGCCATCGAATCCATCTGAAGAGCCGTTAACTGTGAGTACAGGTGTTCGGGCGTATGCCTTAGCTACTCTTCTGTTCCTTTCCATGCATATAATTTTGGCCCATATCTCATCGTCTATCTGTTCCCATTTGTTGAGCACTTCTTGGATGTGATCCTATACAAAACAAAACTGTAATTAGTATTCATTTATGCAGTTTTTATGTATTTATTACTCTTTATTATTATTTCAATACATTTAGTATAAGATATGGAAGGTTTACTTCATTAATAAAATTGAATAAGTTTATTATGTAGATTGGAGAGATGATCTGACTATGAGCTCAAAAGCCGTTCAAAATAGTCACTGGACTATCTCGTATTTCAAAAATTTTGTGGAAATTTAGGCATGTTTTGAAAAATTCATTTACAGAATATATAAAATTCAAATTAATGCTGATAACATTTCAACAATATACAAAATAAAATAGATTATATATACGTATAACTAAAAAAAAAGTAAAAAGTAAAGTTAAGGAATAGTATATAGATATGTTACCGGCAATGTTTGAAATACGGAATCGAATGCCTAGGCATTGTATATAATGCCTAAAATTAGCCGGCAAAGTATGAAATGATTTATATTTCGCATATTTCCTAGGCATTCTATAGAATGCCAAATGAGAAACAGGCAAAGTATAAAATACATTTCTGATTCGTCAAAACGTCATTCCAAAATGTCAAATTCAGAATGTCGGTCAAACCTGCCATGTTGCAACAAGTTGATCAATTTCTTATTTTTTATATGAAAGTTTTATTCCCCTTAACAAGAAAGGCATAAATTATGTTTTGTGCAACTTTCATTTCTCTTTACGCATTTTGAATAAATTATTTTTAATGGCACTCTCATTATTTTTTCAGAATAGCATTTTAATTTTCAGAAATGCATTTAACAACCTCATCAGGACGTTTTTTTATACTTTGCCTAAATGGCATTTGTCATTCAATAGAATGCCTAGGTATTATACACAGTGTCTAGGGAAAGTATGTAATACTTCTCATATTTCATATTTTGCCTAAGAACATCCGGCATTATATACAATATATATATATATATANTTTTTTTCATATGTCTATTATTTTTCATTTTGAACATTTTATATATATATATATCATTTTTCATAGCAAAACAGTTTTTCACTTCAATTTATTCTTGCTATAAATCTTTCCTTAATGGACTTTATAATCCCTAACGCATAACACTCAGGGACACTTATCTGCCATTTCACATTTTACATATAAAAAACACAAAAATAGAAATCATTTGTTATATAATGGCAACGCTCTGATTGAGAATCTAAATCGTCAGAAAAAAAAATTCACATCAGCGAGCAAATTTCTACTCGTCTTTAGCAACAATTAAAGTGACCGCTAACTGAAAACTGTCAAATCTCGTGGTATTTATCATGGTACCATTTAAAGAGAAGTACCCACAACGTTTTTCTCTATTTTCACCTAACACTATTGACCCATATTATGAAACATAAAAGCGTCAGTTTTTTCTTGCATGAAGTAGTGAAAAGCAATCATTTTCACGATGGAGTTTTACTTCATGTGTTCTTTTTTGTTTGAAAGAACTGGCAGACGATCATCTCAATGAAACTGTTGCCAGATCAGCCGAAGAAATTCACTGGACCGAAAATTGTAGGCTGTCGAAGATTCCTTCATGCGTTCGAATTTTCTGTTTTACTGGTGCATGTTCAGGGAATAATTATCATGTAAAATGGAAAAATGATATGAGTTGCAGATGATAATTAGAATATCACCAACTACTGTAATTTCAAAGGAGGATGCTTCTCTTTTTTAATTCGTGTTCAACAAAGAAGTAGACTGGCATACATTACAATCTCGCTTTTTATACTTTCCATGTTTGCACTAAGACTAGTTTTTAATGGTCTGCCAGAAGGCATATATAGTTGAAATTGATATTGTCTGACGTAGGATTAAAATAAATCGTGTTATACTTCGTGAAATTTAAATATAATGTTGGAATAACAGAATAATATAAATAAAAAATAGAACTATATAATCAAAAAATATATTACTCAAAAAAATAAATAAATTTAAATATGATCCAGACCAGATATAATAGAAGAATATAATTAAAAAAGGAAAAATTATAAAATGATAACATTTCTATCTTTTCGTGCTTTAGTTTTCATCCATATTATTGAATTAAATTTAATTACTTTTTAAGTATGCATTTTTTGAATAAGTAAAGCTAAGAAATGTTTGTATAGTATTATAGGAACAGAGTTTGTGAAATCAATAGTGTAATGAATAAAAACAGCGTTCACCTTTTTTTTTTTTTATAGCACCGTTTTTCAGAGATTATACAGATTTATGAATAAAGGAACTTATTAAATTGACTGTTTATGACAAAAATATTTCTGCAAACAAATTTTATGTAAACAGCATTTGCTAATTAATTTCCGCTGAAATCTTGTTTAAATCCTAATTTTTCTTAAATCGATTTCTGTAGTAAGAAAAATTTATATTGTGTCAGTTTTATGTATTTTGAGGAAGATTATTATCTATTAGATTAGAGCGTTAATAAGAGTTTTGTGTTTATTTTCTACATTACTGTCTTTATTTTTCGTATTTATTTAGAACAGTTTTCAGTTTTTGTTGACATGGTTACAACGAATATATATCTGCAAATAATAATGGGAAAAATATATTTAGTTATAACTTTTTCTTAAATTGGGTTATTTAAAATAATGTGAATGAAAAAATAAATAAAATCTTTTTGATTTACTATTTCCGGGATTTAAATTGCAAATAAAGAAGATTCCTTCTTTATTCAGCAATTAATATTCTAGCACTGAGAATTTTAATAACCTAGTTGCCAGCGTTATTTTTACGTTTATTGAAAATTAAATATTTAAGTAAGTCAATGCTTTTCAACATCATTCATCTCTGGAATAAAACGTTTGTTGCCAGTTAAAAATGACAGATAGGAATAATTTACAAGAATAAAAATTCCTTCCAGATCAGGCCAAAGAACTCTTCTATAAATTTAAGTGACTCATATAAATGCGCCACTGTGCGTATTTGCGGTTCCAAAATCCCAAAACATGTTTTTGTAACTTTCTCTGCGTGGCGTTATTAAGAAAGTAACTCAATGGGATACAGATGCAGAGGTAGTGTCTAAAGGAGTGAAATTAGATTGGTATTTAAGTTGTTTTTCGTAATAGACTTAAAGGGGTTTCTAACTAAATGATACCTCTTACAGAGAAATAGAGAAAGGAAAATGCTAAATACTTTTTTTATGTTCGTTGCAGAGACGCACGTTGAATTAATATGTTTGTACATATACCTTTGGCATCAAATTTGTATGAATTAGATTTGCGTTTTTCTTATCTAATTTAATAATTTTAAGTTGAAGCTAGATCCTGAAAGTTAGAATAAATAAGCAATTTAAAACTGAGTAAGACGCAAATCTTAAATTTATATCTTTACAGTAAAGAGAGTGTTGAACTTCGTGAGCTTCATATTTAGTAAAAAGATGTATGCATATATTTAATAAAAATATGCTGAAATTCCAAGTCCATCATACCATTAAATATCAGTAATACTTTAAAAAGTTAGTATACTTTCATAATAAAGATATGGGAGCAACAAAATATATATAGTGTAATGTAATTTTGTTAATTATTTCATAATTGTAGAAGTAAAAAGTTTTGCATAGTGGTAATATACGCTTTTTATTTAGTGTATTTGAAATATTGTAGCTAAAAAAGAACAATATGAAAACATTAGCATTAATAATTTTTTATGATTTTTATCCGAATAAACTTTTATTCCACTAAATACCGAAATATTCCACTGAATAAAATATAGGAATTGATTGGTCGATTAAAAAGTGGGTTCGAAAGTTATATTCAAACTTTAATTTTTGTGATATAGTTCTTTAAAATAAAATCGTTTGAGTTCTAAAAACTATGCTGATAACAGTAAGAAAACTAATGAAGATTTTATATTTCGTAATATTGCTAAATTTATCTTTAATGATAGTCGGTCTTCATGCTAAAAATAAACTTCAAACTCAAGGACGACATGGAACATCAATATCTGTCCCTAATATGCTGTATTTTCCCTTACATTCATTTAACGCTATTTTATGAATAGGGATTTTAAATTATCGTTTGCTTTTCCTCAGAAGATCGTCTGAGTTATAATAACAATATCGATTAAGAAAGTGATTGACAACGTAATAAACATTGACACATCCTAAGCTATTTTTAATGAAGGTCAAATCACCTGCTAGATAAAAATAAATTTTGAATAGTAGGATAATGGGTAACCGTTTTACGAACTCAAGGGAACTGTGAGGTTTCTGTTTGCCCTTATAAAATTAGTTCCTTAAGGGTCGGACTTTGAACCGATTCATTGTGTTCCGATTGATCTTGTTGCCGTTTATGTGGTGTTTTAAATCGCCATTAACCTATTACCCATTGGATTGGGTCCTGTAATCGAGCGCAGTTCTTTATAACAATGGGGCGGCGGTGTGTTATGCTGTTTAAAAAGCGATTATTGGTTGCGATGGTGCATGTCACGATCGAATTGGGAAAGTGGAATACTATTCTTTTTCGATTTTAATGAAGTTGTATTTCGGTTTCGATCGGAACATGATGGGTTATTGATTTTCATGGGAACACATACATTTTAAATTGCACTTAAATCTTGCTTCGGGGAATTTATTAGATCTATTTTAATACCAAAGTTGCCATAATTCTTTTTTGAAACATCCATTGTTCTTCGTCTCAAATATCATTATTATTCGACAAAAGTTGTTCTAATGCGAAAATTGACCATTAGAACAATATATGATAATAAGGTGGGCCATCAATAATTTAGAGATGTTAAGCTAAAGTCGCAAAGCAACATTAAGATGGCTGAAATGTGAATGATGATTTCAATACATAATGATGAATTGATGTGGTTAAAGATGAAATAGTATGGTTTAAGAACAAATATTCGTTGATTGCTCATGCGATGAGAAATTATATAAGATGTAAGATGACAGCCCTGAAAAGTTTATTTGACGCTATAGTTATGACTTTTTTTTATACAGCATACAAAAAAAAAGTTTTTAAATTGTATACACAGTTTTTT